CCACGGGGCTTAGGGAGTGGAGGGATAAAGCAGCAATGAAGTGGCTGCAGGACGAAAGAGCTGCGATCCTGCAGCCCTTTCATTGCTGCTTTACCCTTTGTCAGGGTTCGATGTTAGGCACTGCAGTGATTCCAAATAAATCAGCGGACTTTCTCGGTTTTGAAATAGGGGTAACGTTTATTGGATTATTTAACAATGGTCCTGTATCAACAAACATGTTCCAACTCTTCTCCTGGTCAGACAACAGATCTGTCGGGGGCTTTCATTCTTCAGACTTGAAGGGTTTTCCCTCCTGAGCATTCCACGGTCCTGGCCATTCCGGTGGGGTATCAGGGTTCTCCCCCTCTAGTAAGGGGATTACATCCTCATCTCGAAAGTCCACCCAGTCACCATCCTGGGTGGGATCCCCCGTCTGCCAGGGTCTTCCCCGGGTTCCATCCTCTGCATCTCCTGCATCCTCCATTCTATCCTCTCTAGTCTCTCTCTCTCCACCTTCTCCTTTTCTTCCCTCAGTTTCTTACACCACTCTCTTGTCTCTCTCTCTCTCCCCCCAATAAGAGGGTCTGGAGGTCAGTTCTCTTTTCCTACATGTATCTGTTTCCTCCTTGGGGAACTCCGGTTCTCCACCTTTCCATTCCAAGGGTCTTCAACCCATATCCACTCCCAGTCTGGTGGGAATCCTTCTCTTCTCCCTTTTATATCCACCAACCCTGCCTCCACCACTTCCCGTGCTTTCCGTTCCCTTCCCACTACACCAGTTCTGGATTGTTCAACCGTTAACTCCTTCAAACTCTTCTCTATTCTCCTAGGGTCTGGCTCAGGTTGTTTCATCTTCCAAAGCGGGGGAATAGGTGGGGTCTGACTCTCCTTATCAACCGAAGGAGGGAGGGACGGCACTCCTGTGAGAGGCACCTTGCCCTCACCTCCAGCCTTACACCCCTCCACTTCCTAAGCCCCGTGGGGCTTATGAAGTGCAGGGGGAAAATAGAGATCAAAGGGCTGCAATCCTGATTTTTTCTCTCTCTCATTGAAAAGCGTATAAGATGACCCTCAATTTTTAGTCCAAAGATTTTAGATAAAGAATCGTCTTATATACGGAAAATACGGTATTTTGTGGGAAGAAAATATAGGGTAGAAGGAGCAGCAGTTTAGGGGTGATGTTAAACATACAGTTGTCAGAGAAAGGGTAAACAACAGCACCCCCAAGTGTTCTGAGCAAAGCTACTTGCAGCCTTGTTTGCTTTTGTGAAAACAAAACAAAACAAAACAAATCTGCAAGTCAACTATATAACAATATGTGATGGATGTAGCTCGAATTTGGTACATATTTACTTACATTTTTTTTTACTTTTATTAGATTTTTAACCCGTCCCTCTAGACAAAGTCTACTCGGAGCGGCCTACATACATAATAAAAACATCACAATAACAACATCATAAAACGTTTAAAACAACAAAATTTTAGCAGTTATATAAATCATTGCCAAGATGGAGTGATTAAAAAGAAAAAGAATAAAGGTCAGTTAATTGACTGCAGGGAAGCCCTGCCTAAAGAGCCAGGTTTTTAAATGGCTTTTAAAAACACCCAGTGAGAGTGCCGGACGAATTTCTGTTGGGAGGTTGTTCCATAGCATACATAGTTCTTAGATTGACTTTGTGGAGCAGAGGCCACAGCTAATGATGACATTGCCATAAGTAGATCTTAGCCTACCAGTGAGATATAGATAAAACTGTAGAATTGTTTCAGTAATAAAAGATATTTAACATCAAGCATATATGAAAAATAAATTGATGCAGATCCTTGTTTTTATAGAACATATACAGTGGCGCCTCGCTTAACGATGTTAATTGGTTCCATAAAAAAATCGTTATGTGAAAACATCGTTAAGTGAAACACCATTTCCCATAGGAATGCATTGAAAACCGGTTAATCCGTTCCAATTGGAACAGATTAATGTTTGCAATCATTAGCCCACCTCCTGAAACCTATGCAAACTTAATTTGGTGTTGTTCTGAGTCTTCATTAATTTTTGGTGATTTTTTCTCTCTCTCATTGAAAAGCATTGGACCATCCGTCCAATGCTTTTCAATGAGAGAGAGAAAAAAATCACCAAAA